TCTCCCATGGTTCTTAATTTAGTTTGTGGAAGGTGGAGGAGATTACTGTTCTGTGATTGTAGGGACCGGGTGGATGAATATGGAGCAAGAAGGTCCTTCAGATAATCTGGTGAATTTCCGTATAAACACTGATGGGTGATATATTTGGCCTTATTGAAAACTAAACTCCTGGATGGACTGGAAACCTGTCCAGGATAGAGTTGCATTCGAGCCCAAAAAAATCTGACCTGACCTGGCCCCAGCTCGTAGCCATCATTTCTGAACCCCACCTGACCCGGCCCCAGCTCGTAGCCATCATTTCTGAACCCCACCTGACCCGGCCCCAGCTCGTACCCGTCATTTCTGAACCCCACCTGACCCAACGAATTAACAGTAATTGCAGATCTGAACCAGAAACTCCCCCTGACATTTTCAATTAAGCTTTGTCTGTATATATGGGCCTGTGATTGGAAGATCGCCGGTTCAAGCCCCGGTACAGACAACATCAAAAATGTGGGTAGGGTAGGTGAAGCACCCACACCTGCCCCCACCTTCTTTCGTCCCACTCTGGGCCCTTGAGCAAGGCCCTAAACCCCCACCATCTGTTCCTCTGGGTGCCCTAGATAACAGCTCTCTGCTCCACACAGAGAGCTGTGGTAGCTCGGTAGTCTGTGGTTGCGTCAGGAAGAGCATCCGGCGTAAAAATAACTGCCAAGTTTTTGTGCGTCTTAGTTCGCTGTGGCGACCCCTGAAGAAGGGAGCAGCCGAAAGAAGAAAAAAAACAAACAGCATTTGGAATGGAAAAATATGTCAACGTATTTTTTAAAATAAATTTATCCCAAAACATTATTAACCTCGATTTGAAAAAGTGAGGATTGTCTTTCCTTCTCATTTATTTATTCATTTAGTTTACCACTTTTCATGACACTGCATTTAGTACCTTGTTTTAATTGCTTTTGCATTTTGAGACTTAAGTCCTTGTTTGTAAGAACAACACCCAGAACCAAACATGCCTTGTGCAAAGACGCTGTCAATTCCTAAACAGCTCACAATATTAGATTTTTTTTTTGTTTTGGTTTTTGCTACTTTCCAAGAGATGTTAAGATTTTCTAATTACTATCCTAAGAGCAGTACATGTCTTTATATTTAACGGCATGGAAATAAAATGGTGCATAGGACAAACAACGCTTTGTGTTTAGCCAAAGCCATTAGCGCAAACACAGAAACATCACTCCTAACTCTTAGTAAAGCTGAAAGGAAATAAAAGCATCCTTCTTATCAGTCATACACTGGTGCCTGAGGCTTTTTAATTTGTGGCGGGTTTTGTCTTTTTTATTTTCAAGATTTCTCTGCTTTTATTTCCCTGCCGGTCTTTGTTTTAGTAAGCTGCGTTGTCCAGAAGTCTGATGCCGCTGTGTTCCGCCCACATCTGCCTTCACTGCTGGAGATTAAATATAACGAACGGCACCGTTAATTAAGCAACTAATCTTGCTGTTTATGTTTTTTTTTTTTTTTTCCTGCACGGAGATGTGAGGACAACTCTCCCCAAAATGACAGCTTTCTCACACATTAAAACACTTTTGATGCACACAAATTACCAAAAAACAACCCCATACATGGTTCAGTAGATTGACAGGGATGCAGCCTTAACTTCTTTTTAGCCAAAATAGCAAACAAACAAAAAAACAAGCTATTTATTTTTGTTAGCGGTTCAGTTAATACTGTTGATTTAAAGCCTCACCTTCAATTTTGTGTAGCATGTGGACAGAGCTTTAGCTTTTGCTGCGGCTGAACCAATTTTCTGCTTCAAGTGCCTTTAATAAACTTCGTTGCACTATCGGGAGGCTTCAGCTTCCCTGATGAAGGCCATTTATTTCAAATTAAAGGAGAGTTCCTTATCTTCTGTGAGCTCAAATAGAGAAAGAGATAAAGGCGGCATGCTTTGGTGTTGCACTGTCTGTGTAGTTAATTTGGCGACAAAAGCAGGGGGCGAGGGAAGGCGTAAGAAAGAAGGAAGACTGAGTCGAAGTGAATACAAAAAGTGGAAGAAGGTGGGTTATACATCCAATACAAATGACTGGGAGCTGTGTGGAGAAACAGCAGTTTGATAGGCCGTCATAAGTTTTTGAGCAAATGCCAATGGCTGCTTTGTTCTGTCTCTTTCATTGTTTTAATCTCATTTAGTTTCTCTGTTTCTCTCGCCGTCTATGGTCATTATCCTCTTTAACCTTCATCACCCTTGCTCTGATAAACTCCGTTACTGCTGCCATGTTAGTTTCATCGATAATAAAGCGTGTGCACGTGTCTGCGTGGATATGGATATGCTGTAATTGAAACGATTAGGGTCAGTTCTTCACATTCAAAGGCAAAATGAGCCTTTAATTTGGCTTTCAATTTGATGCGGTGTTAAATGCTCCTCGTAGGGAAGGTGCATATGAGGACGCGGTGTAGAAATTGGTATGTTGTCACGTAGGAAAGTATGTGCATGTGCGTGCACATAACTGGTTTTTGATGTTCAAAGTGCACTACAAAGTGTGTGTTGGTGGTTGCAGTTGTGCACATGCCAGTCTGTAGTCGTGTGGGCGTTCTTAACTTGCTTGTCTCTGCTTCAATCAGTCAGAATCTATTACAGCGAGGCACCGAAGCAGCAACCTGTCATATTTAACACTCACAAAGATAGACAGGCAAAGACAAATTATAATACAGCCCACATATCAAATTAAGCACAGCTAATTCAATCTCTCAAAGCTCACTTTTCTGCTGTATTTGATCAAAATGATCCTACCCACTCAATTAAGTGTGATTTAGTGCTAATTGTGTGATTTACAGTGAAGCACGTAGCCTGCAGCCCACTCGTTGTTTAACAGATGTAGATGTGACTTGTTTTTTCATCTTTCGCTTGCTTTCTTTATGCAGATTATTTCACTCTCACTTTTTATGTCTTAGAATTTAAGTAGAAAGAAAATGAAGTCGTACACAATAGCAACAATTAAAATGGTGAAATGTACAATTTGCATTAGCATTAACATTAGCATAACATTTTGAAAATAGTTTTCTGTTTTAATAGAAATGGTAAATGGTTTTTATACATTGATCATCATTAAGGCTCAAAGCAATAGTTTTTTGTTTTTTTTTTCAAGCAGGTTTTAATGATAGCTTCATGCTTTGTCTGCTACAATTTGTTTTATTCTCAGATGTTGCATAAAACACAGTCTGTCACAAGGGTTTTAGCTTCATGGTACATCTTGCCATTTTGAGCTGATGCTCCAAAATCACATTCTCTCTACCTGCTGTAATTATAACAAAGGATGTCCATATTAGTGCCTAATTATCCAAACTGAGTACCAATCAAACCATTTTTATTAACCAGTATTAAAGGAACCACTCCGCTGCTGATATTTGTTTTTAGGACAGCCATGTTAACATTGCTTCCGTACGGTAGTTCCGAGATGGTAACAGTTGTTAGGTGTGTTCATATGTGTGAAGCAGACTCTGGAGAGGCGATCATCTATTTCTGAAGGTTTATTTTAAGTTACACATGTAACGTACAAAATCAGTATCCCTGGGCCACTACCGCCTCTGCCATGCGGTTCCAGCAGTGGCATCAAACGCCAACCAAAACACACATTTTCTTCAGAACTTGGCCACACCTCCGCAGTTGTCCCATCATCACAGCTCATAGAAAGTTACTACCGTACAGTAAATCATGTGACCAGCTCTCAGCCAATGAAACTCATCCTTAAAATATCAAAACACTAGTGTTTGTCTGCCGTTAGTGCAGGTGCGTAACTAAGAATTTTTTCCTACTGGAAACAGAGACGGAAAACAAAAGTTCCACCTTGTTTTAACCCAACAATGTTCTGTCAGGTCATGTGCACAGTTTCTTTTTTTTGTGCTGAGACGTTTCGCCCTCCATCCAAAAGGCTTCATCATCAGTCTGAGGAAACGCCAAACAAAACTGATTCTCCCCCAACAGCTTACTCCAAAATGTAAAAAGAACAGTTATGTTGGTGCTAAGATGGTCTCTGGTGCACTCACTCTCCTCCGGTCAGTCATGTCAAACTGGTTCAAAACACCACAAAATCCATGCTCAATAATCCAGGTATAAAATCCAACAATGTTCAGTCAGGTCATCTGGACGGTTGTTGTAACACATGAATGAAATGCTATATAAACATAAATGCATATAACCACGCATTTCAGTAAGCTAATCTATTATTCTGATAAAAATATACTTCATGTGACATACGGTACCGACACGTCTGCGGTAAAACACAAAGCAGAGAAATTCATTAACTAGCCGCCTAACAGCAGCAACCATTTCTACCTTTTAACTTCATGTTTACATATTAACTACTTTGTATCTTTGTGTCTGTTTTTATTTTTAACAGGTCTCGTAATACAGCTCCGGTGTGCTCCGGCCTGCAGGCTCAGATTCTGTCCTGTTACAAAGAGAACAAAGCCCAGACCTTAAAGTGTTCAGACCTGTCCAGAGAGTACATGCAGTGTATAAATGCTGCAAAGAAGGTAAATACATTTATTTTCTTGAAGTTGAGAAGGCATAGATCCAAGAAAGATATGAACTTGACACCATGCTGTCGATGATTTGTCTGTTAGTGAAAGTTTATATCACGATATAGAGTTAGATTTGAATGTAATAATTCCTCTTAATTTAAAGGGTTTCATTTTACTTTAAATTGCCAGACTTTATTTTGATATTATTAGCTATAAGAAAAGTTTATCAACTAATCAAACTATTTTTGGACATGTTTTATGTGTTGTAAATAAAACTCTGAAGAAGTTAAGAATGAGCTAAAAAGTTATAAATGCTCATAATTTGGATGTTGCTTCTCTTGAGAAGTTGTGTTATTGAAAACAGCTTGCGTTCGTGAATATCTAAAGTTAAAGTTCCTCACCACTACTGACGTTGTTTTCCTACCAGAACTGAAACTGACAAGCTTTAAGTGCGACAGCTGTTTGAGTGCTTTAAAATAAGGTCACCTTGCTGCGGCAGAGATTATTTTTGGTGCTATTTTTAATTTTCATTTGACACAAATTATAGTATGGGTTGACAAGGGAACAGAGAAATGATAAAACAAAATAACAGTGAATGTAATGCAAGATATTTTCCAAGTTAACTTCAAGGTTTTTGATGATTTCTGAATCTGATCTTGCTTCTGCGTTGCCATGAATATGTGTGCAATGGAAGGAAACCTAATTAGATAATTTAAAGTATTTCCTCTGTAGACGGCGTGTTTGTTTAAATGGGTTAACATTATAAAAAATTAATCCTTATTGCCTTGTATTTTGGAATATTTTTCCTATGGAGCTCTAAATCTGTAATTTGAAGTTATTGATCACAAAAAAACATTGACTCTAATGTCTAAATACTTTAAAAATATATATTTTTTATTAACCATGTTACAAATGTTCGCAAACTGATTATGATTATGATAAACTTTACAATATAAACTTCTTGGTTAATAATTGTTAACAATATAAACAATTTAATTAATGACACATATATGTAATTATAATGATTTTAAGTGTTTGAAAAGAAACACAAAGCTGCAGTTTCTGTTTTGCCTCACTTGTATTTGTAGACTAGATAATAATTTAGTTTTCCTGTAAACAACCACAATTTAAACAATTTTTTTTTTATGTATAATTTTCTAATCTTCAGTATTTAAAAAAAAAAAGATTCAGTATTTTTTTTATTACAACATTTTTTTTCTACTTTACTGCTAAAAACAAAAACAGTTAAACTAATGAACTGATTATACAGTTACCTTAAAACACAAAGAACGTAAATGTTCTACAATAATTTTTATTTGAGTAAAAAAAACAACCTAATCTTTATCTGGTTTATTGTTAAATGGAAAAAGAAACAAAACAGTAAAGCCACTTTTAACAGAATACTAAACCTGAATTGTTTCATTTATATTACTGATGTCTATTTTAATCATATTTTGTTTTATGTGAAACTACAGACAAATCATCAAATCGTTCATTAGAGCTCTCTTTGTCTTTGGGTAGTTTGTTTGGGATAAAACCTTTTTATATTTGGAGCCAAGCATAAAACAAACAAGAAAAATTGGTTTAGCATGCACTGCTTAAAAATGCACTCAATATATTTCCTTTATGACGTTCTCAAAGTTGGACCTGCTGTTGTGTCTTTAACATCAAAGATGACTCTCTCATATTAGTTCTTTACAGAAGTTAAAGAGAAAAGAGGTCTGCACTTCTAAATGTGATGCTTTAAAGTCATTGAACAGTACAGTAGTACTTCGTTTATTGCGGTGGATCCGTACCTTGAAGACCAGCGAAATAAGTGAAAAATCGCAAAGCAGGGATAGTAGTACAAGTAGTAAGTAGTTTATTTCAGTATATATATAAATGTAATGAGGCGTTTTAAACTCTTCCCACACTATTGCAATATTCTAAACAATGTTTTTAAACTCTAAAAGCTCTAAAAGAGCACAGAATGTCATGACTTCAGCTCCCTGCTTCCTCTGCTCTTTACCACCTGCAAGTGCTCTTGGCCACGCCCACTTCTTCGCTCTGCACGGAGAACAGCTGATCAGCTGCAGGAGGAATCTTGTCCTGCAGTGTGGGCTGCACAAAGATGCAACGGGTGCTAAATAATTTAAAATTTATTTTAAATTCAAATTCCATGCCGACCGTGCGGCTCATCCATCAATCAGCCGATTGTGTGTCATGTCCAATCTTATTTTGAAAAACCGCAATAGAGCCAGTCCGCGATAAACGAACCACAAAGTAGTGAGGGACTACTGTATATCCTGATTCATGCTCAATAATCCAGGTAGAAAATTCAACAAAGTTATGTCAGGTCCTCTGGATGGTTTCTTTTTGTTGAAACGTTTCGTCTTTCATCCAAAAAACTCCAGAAACCATCTGAGCACCATGAAACTGGTTGGCCCACTATGAGAAGGTGCTATGAGTTTGTTATGGCTCCTCGGACTGATGAAGTCTTTTGGATGAAAGACGAAACGTTTCAACAAAAGGAAACCATCCAGAGGACCTGACGTAACTTTGTTGGATTTAATAGTATAGTTGCTCAACTTGCACCCATGCAAGTTATTAATCCAGCTCATACTGGTTTCTGCTCACATCTCAGAGCTTACTGAAGCTTCTTTTTGGACACGCAGTTCGTTTTCTGAACAATGATTCCTCTTGCACTAATAGAGCATGCGCTCGTTCTGTGCCACTTCAACCACAGCAGTAATTGTGTTCTTATGTATGTGTAGATAAAATCAAAACCACACAAGGTCTAACGTGATGTGTGCTTGTGTAAAAGTCTTTTTTTTCCTCTAGAAGAAACTGGTATGAGATAATGACAAGGGAAGAAAGGACAGTTTGAAGATTAGTGTGAGTGTTTGTGTTGTGTGAATATTTGATTGGCTCCTGAGACATCCCTGACTTCCAGCTCTTGCCTTTCAAACTTTTTAAAAGTTATTTCTTAATTTGGTGTCTTTAAAAGACGTCACAGTTTTGGGTCACACTGTTAACTTTTTCCCTGTGAAGAAGCAGTTGCTGTGATTGGGAAACCAACTAAATTTAATGGAGGGTGAAAAAAAAAAGGATCCACATTTACACTTGTGACTGCGTTTGAAGGCAAAATAATCTTTTAGTCATGAATTTAGGCTTAATTATTTAAAATTTGCTATGCCATGTACCAAGATCACCCTACAACTCTATTAAGTTCAGCTCAGTTAAATATTTTAGAACACCTGTGAGAATAAAGCCAACAAATGTGAATTTCTTATTCATTACATTTTTTAAACAAGGGAAAGAGAAATGAACTAGGACAGAGTTCAGTCCCGTTCCTGTTTTTGTCATACCAAAGAATCGACTGGGATGTGTTTTGATCAGTGTCACAGCGGGTCAGTGGACAGGCCTCCATATCACAGATGTCTCCCTGCTGAGTTATGCAGCCATCTTTGTGTGTGTGTGTGTGTGTGAATGTGTGTGTGATTTGATGGCAAATGAGGGAAAGATCCCACAGAGGCTGCAGAGTTGAAGCAAATAACCTCAACTCATTATCCACTGGGAAGCTGAACCAGACATGGGCACAGCTACATCTATTACATATACACTGTCCAGACACAGAGTGGGATTCTGCAGTCATTTGTCTGCACTCTTGGAGAGGAATACATTCAAAACGCACACCCAAGTCATTGTCTCTATGCCTGGTGGGATTCTCAAGTCATTTAGTACCAGTCTGAGACGGTCTATTTGTTGTCAGTTTCAGAAGCTCAGCAAACGAAGGAAAGGGATAAATGAAAAGGAGAGAGAATACATGAGATATTGCAAAAAAACGATGGTGAGAAATAATTTTAGAGAATCTGGTCTTATGCAGAACTCAATGTATTCATTCAATCTTTATTTATACAGGTTAATCCCATTGAGCCTCGGGGACTCATTTACAAGAGAAACCTGATTTTAGCAAATACTGATGACAACAGTGGACAAGAAAGACAACAAAAGACAATCGTAAAGGATGCGTACACATTAAGAACAACAAGTGAAAACAAAATGTTATTAAAAATAGAATAACAAAAACCAGCTAGGTTAAAAAGATAAAAAGCTAAACAAAAAGAACAGATTAATTACATCTTAAAATTCAGTAGCTTTTAGAATCAACTTTACCAGTAAGAACTAAAGAGGTGCCCAGGCTTTGTTTCTGCTAAACAAACTCAAATGACCAACCCAACAATGTTCAGTCAGGTCATCTGGACCGTTTCTTTTTTTGTTGAGAGACGTTTCGCCTTCCATCCGAAGGACTCCATCAATCTGAGAAGCCACATACAAACCGTTTTCCCCACCAAGCAGTACACTCCTACAGTGGACCAACCAGTTTGCTGGTGATAAGATGGTTTCTGGGGGCTGTCCTCTCCTCTGGGGTGGGGGTGGGGGTGGGGGGCATCGACATTAGAGCTCGACTGATCTATTGGTAGGGGCTGATATTTTCAAGTTCAAGGTTCTTTGTCATTCGCACCCCATGTGGTACATGTGGTGGAACGAAAATATGTACACAGGTTCCCAGTTACATCCAACAATAAAATGTAAAAGAAAAACAGTAATAAGATCTAATATATGAACTGAGAAAAACATCAACTAAATATACACTAAGCACTAATAGCATAAAAACATTACGCCGAACAGCAGCACGAACATGAGTCTGTGTGAGCAGATGAGCACGCATGAATATTTTAGGCCGATATAGACGTTTGCGGGCCTATCGTATCCGTGATGATTGTCTTTATGCGCCAAAATTAACACTTCTAATTTTCACCCCTAAAATGCTGGGAACCAGCTGTAATTGTACAATGTATTCAGCAGAGGGCGCATGCAGACTACTTTCAAGTCATGTCTGTGCACGTTAAGTTTCACTTTCAGCACAGCCGAAGCAGCAAGCAATATTGTGTAGCATATTTTGCTGAACAGAGCATGGTAAGTTTATTGTAACTGATCTGTGAAATAAAATAAATCAACAAGAATGCATT